TATGTCCAGGTGTCTCTGTGATGGGCTGGAGATATGTCCAGGTGTCCCTGTGATGGGCTGGAGATATGTCCAGGTGTCTCTGTGATGGGCTGGAGATATGTCCAGGTGTCCCTGTGATGGGCTGTAGACCTGTCCAGGGTGTCCCCCGCTTCTCGCACAGTGTTAGCTGCACATGGGCACCAGTGACCCCCGTGACCCGAAAAGGAAGAATCTGGTAAAGATGACTGATGGACAGAGAATAATTAATTGTTAAAGATTTATTTTAATATGTTGAAATGCGTCACTAAAATTAGTTTGTGTAACAAGGTCGTTGGTGTTGGAGGCTGATGTTTTTATTTGTTTCTGCTGTTTGAGCCTTATGTTTTCTACGTTTGATGAAACGACTGATGCTTTGGGGTTGAGTTGAAGCGAGCTCGTACACAAAGCTGGGGAGTCATCTCTACGCTGTGTTTGATGCTGATTTTAATGCCAAACTTTTCAAGTGTCAGATATGAATATTATGGGGATGTTGCAAGACCCAGAATATTCCATATTTTATCAACATGACTTCTGTTCTAAAGATCAAGCTTAACTGTTGCCTTACTAAATATAAAGTACTGTTTGTACTGTGTTTGATAGAAGACAATATTTAACTCATTTTAATGTTTCCACTTTTTGAGTATTTGTGAATAAACGTCTTTAAACTAACCTACACTATGTTTGTAACTAACTACACTTGGTTTCTAAAATGTTTTATGATATGCAGACAAAACTTTTCTAAGTAACGTTGAAGAAAAAAGACAATTTCAGTTTAACCAACATTGAAATGGTAAATTAAACTGATCATTTAAATAAACAAAAATGTATTTCATTTATTTATTTGTTTACCAACAAAAGACTAAAACACAACAGTCAGAAGTATAAAAGTATCAGCGGTGTGTTGTTATGATGTGGTCACAAGACTTTCTTTGGTTTTTCATTCAGACGTGATAATTATCTCAGAAGTAACTGGTTCCAGAGGAGCTGAGCTGAAACCACTGACCGCTCCGACAGAAGCAGACATTCACCCACACAAGAGTTTTCTCTCTGAACACAAGTTGAAAATCTGTGCACACCGTTAATGTTCTCATCACTGAAGGCATAAATGTTGAATCTTTTCACGAGGTTAAAAAAAATGGCTGCTCGTTGCTCCACCTGGATGTATCCCAGGTGTGGTGGGTTAAATGTAGAGAACTAATTTCATCATTGCATGGGAACATGCAGTGATGACACATATCACTTTATTTATTTATTTATTTATTTATTTATTTTATAACACTTTTCTGTCTTATCAAAGCTCTTTACAACACAGTCTGTGCCTCATTTACCCATTCATACAGCACTCTACTAGACCTATACAAAGAATAATCAGAGCTTTGATCACATTCAGACCCTGATGGGACACATCAGAGGCAATGAGGGGTTCAGTGTCTTGCCCAAGGACACTTCAGCACGTGACTGCTGGTGAACTGAACCCACAACTCTTGCACTGGAGGACGACTGCTCTAACCGCTCAGCCACAGCCGCCCCAGTAAGTAAAGTTAAGAACAAGAGCAGGTTTATCTCACACAATGACCTCTTTAAACTCACAGTGTCGTTTCTGAGTTTGTGTTGCAGAAACAACTGACGTCACCTGCGCTTACAAGATGCTCCCAGCAAAGACAAATAAAGTCAGGCAAACCTAGAAAAAGAATAAAAAGCATGCATGTGTGTGCTCATAATGGAATGACAGACCAGCAGACTGCCTCTGCGTCGTCAATATGCAGACGACCTGGTGACTTATCCAAACACTGCTCAGCTGAGCAGCAGCTCTTATTGTGATGTGTCTGGGCTGGAATGGAAGGTCAGTGGCCTTCAGACCGGAGAGGAGAGAACTGTCTCAGCAGTGTAAATCTTCTGCTTCTCTACAGGGCTGCTGGTGACGCTCTCCCTAACAATATCGCAGTCATGGAGTGAATGAATGGAGGTTTGGTTCCTGGCCTCTGTTAGCTGTTCTTCTGAGTAAGACGAGGACAACCAATTTAGGCATAATCTGCTCAACTCCTCAGACATTCTCTATAAATGACTTATTCTAACAATTCCTCCAGGGAGCCACATGGATCCAAACAGGAGACAGTCTGCTTCTTTTTTCCCACACAAGACACAAAACAGATATTTTACTGAGTGTGTGGCTTCTGTAAATGACACCGATACAGTAAGAATTCATGCACTGGGTTCAACTCAGAATGAACAAGGGAATAAGGTGAGATTCTAACATTCATCGTTCTGTCTCCAACAGAAAAACATTTAGATTCACCAGGGGCATGGCTCAGTGGGTGGGGAGGAAGGAGACTTCATTGTTGGGACCTTTTTTTTTCAGCTCAGTCTCAGTTTTGAGAAGATCTTGCTTCAAGGCTGGACCAGCAAGTGGAAAATTTATCACTTGGGTGTCAAGAATTTCAATCTTTGCTTCCAAAACAGACTGGCAGTCAGAGGGCTGAAAGTAGGGGGAGCAGGACCCCACAGCGTCTTTTTTTTTTTTTTTAGTAGAGCTCTGCATTGAGACTTCTGCCATCCTAATAGAAAAGTCCAAAGTTTGTTTTCAGTGAGGCTTTGCATCCCATTTAGCATGTCATCTTATGGTATGTAGTCTCACGGCCTCAGGGTTTGAAACTTTACACAAGGATGCCAAGAATCCAGAAGAAAGTTCTGCCTTATTTTGGGGAATTCTTGTGTGCCGGTGTTGACCGAGGGAATGCCTGAAGCTCAGTGAACAAGTGCAGCAGGGACCAGGAGTATGCCAGCTGCATCGATATTAACTGCACTAATCTACGTTTTGGTGCAAAGTGCCAGAAGCTTGGCGCTCGATACAACATGCTGGGGAGAGCGACTACCAGAAGGAAGGAACAGGAGCTGCATCGGTGAGTTTATGGCTCTAATCCTCAGTAATACAATCATTTCTCAACCTGCTACAGTCTTTGCTTTGTATGTCTCACACAAACCAATATGTTTACTTGAACTTGCATCACTTTTGGCAAATAAGTTGTTTTTTGTAGACAGGTCACCTAGGTTCACTTTGCGCCAATGTTTCACCTGAACTAAAAGCAAACAGAAGGTGGACCCACAAGCATGCTCCTAAAATATATTTATACATCATATATATATATAACTTATTTTATGGTTACATGTTCTATTTAGGAAAGTCCTGGTGGACAGTGGTCAGCCTGGTGTATGGTAACAAGCTGAAGCGCTGTGTCACGCTGTTTTTATAACACTTTGGACACAACTTTAGGTAAAACGAGTCAGTACATAAAATATTAAGTGTCTGTAATACTGTTAATGACTGAAGTTATTTACTGCATAAACTGTGGGATCATCAGCTGCTGATAGTCAGACATGAGAAACTGTGACAGATAAAGAGGAAACAGCCCTTTAATAATAAGCAGCAAGTTATAATGAGAGCTGAAACCTAAAATAAATTACAGCAAACTGCACCAAATGAAAGAGACTGGACTGGGTTGTGTGGGGGCACCACAGGCTTTGTGGTGGGGATGGAACAGGAAACAAGTTCTGAGCTCCAAGAGGTTTGGTTCCAACAGAGCAGAACCTCCACCTGCAGTTTTGCTTCATTTCTACTCGAGCATAATGAAGCTGTCAAACAGAAATGGTGCAAGAATGACGTGTTTTAGTGCGTTTTGCACATATAATATAAATTATAATATAATTAGATACAAGGTAGAGTATATGATAATCAGCCCACAGCAGAACTTTTCTGTTTAAGTAATTTTGAAAACACATTTTCAAATAAAATACGTACAAACATAAAAAACTGACACACAATGAAATACTGCAACACGTTGACACACTGGATGACAAGAGGACGGTTGCAGAAAACATTTCCATCCAGCTTTGTGGTCAAGATCTTAATTAACAGAATTGACTGTGAGTAAAATTTTCTTCAGCACAACTTTAATATTCTTAGACGGGTTCGAGCTGGACTCTGGAGGCCAGCGCATGTAAAATGTTGTTTAATGCTCACCAAAACAGACTTTCACAAATTAAGCCTAACATTGCCATATTGGCAGGTTGACCAAGAGGATTATCCAGATGTTGATGTTTTCTGAGGCCAGACAAGAGCATTTAAAGTTTTAAATGTAAACCTTGAGCAGCACTGAAGCTGTTTTTAGTCTCCACACTAACAACAGCCACGCTGAGCGTTCTGAGAGCTTCTAAATCAAGAATTGGTCCGAAAGCATCCTCCGACAGGCGGTTTTTGGAGGGAGCTCTCAGGCCAGATGTTTTGTTGTTCGTCTGGTGTTACTCGTTGTTTGCATCAGTCAACAGAGTTAGGAGCAGCGCCTGCACGTGACTTTCTGTCAGGAACTCAGAGAAACAGCACAGATTTGTTGTCTGCTCGTGTTCAAGTTGCTCAAAGACTCAGTCCATTGAGAGGAAACTGATTAACATCCTCTAAAGAACAAACTTGTCTGAGAATAAAAAACTGCTTCTGCCGTTCAGCCCATTCACGTCTGAGAGCACAAAGACTGTTGCTAAGGGACTGATGTTTCATTTAGAAACCTGCCTCCACCATCACCCCTTCCCACCGCTGAAAGGGTTTTATAATGTGATCAATTTAACACTAAGAGCAGCGATGCAACTCTTAGGGAGCAGAAACATTAACCCTCACACAGATGACATCTTGTGTTTGGTCATTTATTGATTTAATCTGAGAACAGGAGGAAACAGTTTCCACACCAATATTAAAAATGTTAAACCTAAGCATTTACTTTTATTTCTTCTAAACAAAGTGTCAAAGTGAAAAGAGGGATTTTTTTTTACTCTTCCAATCATTTTTACTGAACATATACAGTATTTAAACTTTTCACAAAACCTCATGCATTTAAATCACGCTGAGCTACAACAAGTTCACTCATTTTAGACATTTAGAACAATTTTGAAAAGTCTTATTAAAAAAATCAGTAAAAGTCCAGCAACATTTGACAATTTACAACTTCCTTTATCCTATAAAATCAAATTATTGCACCACCGGGTGAAGATGAATGATCCAGTATTGCATTAACAACAAGCAGAATGCTGGTTTCACGTCTGAGGGATTTGGATAACGAATGTTTCTGTGCTGGAACTGAACAGGAGCTGCAGTTAAAAGGGTTTTGGTGTAAAATATTCAAAGATGGACCGGGGGGGGACAATGGTGGCCTTGACCCCATAGATCAATCTTCAGCCACCCTAATCATTTGAGGAAACTACCGGTGCTGGTATACTTTAAGCACTATAAATATAAGAAAGGGGGTGGTCACTTTGCATACACATACATGGTGGTGGCCATCTTGGATTTTGACATGGCAACCCAGTTTTCTACAGGAAACTTTCTTACACTTAGATGTCAACACACGCCATAATGGAGGTGGATACCTCAGTTATTTTTCACGTTGTCATGTGCCCAACATGCACAGACGGACAGACGAACGGTCTTTGTTCTGCACCAATAAAAGTTGTGTTTTGGATTTCATTAAGGTTTGCAGCCGTTCCTGATATTCGGCCACGGGAAATCAATTCACCGGATGGGCCTCGATGGAAGGAGCCACAGGAGGCTTGTGGCGAGCGTGGGAAGCTCCATCCTGCTCGACTTCCACTTCAAACAGGAGGAACTTTATTGGGCTGACAAGCAAACAGGCGTCATCCACAGAGCGTCGCTGAAAGAGGCGCACCGACAGGTGATGGCGTGACTGCAGAGAAGTTCACTGGTGCAACCACACTTCATGCTCTTATAATAAATAAATAAATAATAAAATATTTTCATGGCTTGTGCCTAAAACATTAGCACTCACAGATCAGCCACAACATTAAAACCATCTGAGAAAAATGTGAGCATTTACTATAGATAGGCTAAAACATTTGATTGGGTCGGCTCTAAACAACCTAAAGGCAAAGTTAATTTATTCAAGAGATTTTTGGGGGTGGGTTGTCTTTACAATTGTCACAGCTGCCATTGGAGAGGGGGCAGGTTTTATGTACTTGTCTAAAGTCAAACACAAATAAGACGTCAGGGCCTGAACCAGTGTTGCATCATCACAACATGATCAGTGTGGTTTTATGTGACCTGTCGGTCAGTCGTGTGTTTGCAGCTCTTGGTTTGTGAGTGAATTCAAAGAGACAAAAACAATTGATTTTAAGGTGTGTTTTTATGTGCATTGATAAATTATTTTTGTCACTTTTAAATCCTATGAATTGACATGAATGTTTTCTGTTTACAGAAAATCTATTCGTCTGACAAACACATCTCAGGCCTGGCAGTGGACTGGGTTTGGAACAGTGTGTACTGGACGAGCAGGGAGAAGGGGCAGATCAAGCAAATGGACCTAAATGGGAAAAATGAGAGAACAGTCTTAAGACACTTAACACAACCAAGTTGTATAAATGTCGATCCCACCGACAGGTAATCATTTTAAACCTATACGTGAGTCTTGATCCATTTTGGTCCGTTACAGATTTAAAACGGCATCAACACTGGATTCGACACTTTGAAGGAACCTGATCAGGGCAAATGCTTCTTACAAAGATCATCACATTCATGCACTTTATTTAATGCAAGTTTTATTTTATTTTAAAATGACTTATCTTTCACTGAGTGTGGCTGGCATATACCTCTCCAATAGAACCTTCTGTGTCAACAGCAAGGATGTTATTTCAACGTCGACAGCTCTTTGGTGTGGGGTACCGCAGGGCTCCATTCTCTGACCCCTTCTCTTTTCTTTATACTTGCTGCCACTAGGTGTTATTTTTTGTAAACACGGCATACCTTTTCATTTTTATGCTGATGATTGTCAAATTTACTTCCCTCTGAAGCACACTAGTGCACGTTCTATCCAACCTCTTCTTGACTGCCTGACGTCAGGGATTGGATGTCTTTAAATGTCTTAAATTTGAATGAGAAGAAGACAGAAGTCATGTTGTTCCCACCTAATGGCACATTCAAGAACCACAGTATGGACCCCGTTAGAGAAACGACTTGTTACTAATCTGGGAGTGGAAATGGACCCGTCCATGAAACTGAACAGTCATGTTAGATCCTGTTTTGGGTTTTTGTTTGTTAGGGTTTTTTTCAGTTGAGGCGACTGTCTAAATTGAAGCCCATGCTGTCTAAAAGTAACTTTGAGACTGTAGTACATGCTTTCATAACATCCAGGCTTGATTACTGCAACATGCTTCTTTTTGGAATCAGTCAGACTTCCACTCCACGTTTACAACTGGTCCAAAATGCTGCACCCCAATTTTTAACTGGTACAGGTAAACAGGAGCACATTACTCCAGTTCTGACCTCCCTTCACTGGATATGTTTACGTGGACATAAGTAATCGGATCAAACGGCCGTTCTGAATAAAAATGCGTCACGTGAACACACCGTTCAGGTTATTTTTTGTTTATTCTGCGTGATCCGAATTAATTTGTGATCAGAACGAAACGGGTGGTTTACGCTGATTCATAACCCGAACGGTGCGCATGATCTGAGACAGTCTTACTGCATTACAGTCTTAGCACTTGATCTGTTTGTTTTATCTGATGGTGAAAAACTGACCTGACTGCACATGTGCGGCTTTGTCATTTCCGCCTGGCTAATGCTAATGATATTAACATGCTGGGGAAGTAAAACTGGTCGGTGAGCGACAACATTTCTCGTAGAAACTTAGAAAGAGCTCAGAATGATGTGCATGACCTGTAGCTCAGTCAGGGAGTGCAGCAACATCTCCACCATCATTAAAACCTGTCGCAGGTCCATTTTGGGTGCGCAGGTTTGTTTGGGTTCATCACAGAAGTAGAACTTCTTCTGTGTTTCTTTAAGGACAGTTTACCACTCTGCGCATGTCAGTACTGCTGTTCAGAACTAAGCTTGCTGCATGTAAACGCTCGTCATGAACAGATTGTGCCCATGTAAACAACACATTTGAATTATTTAATCTGAAAACATTTCAATCTGGTCAAACGTTTTTGCACATGTAAACATAGCAGTTCACTTCCAAATTCATTTTAAAATACTTCTGTATGTTTTTAAATCTCTGAACAGTTCTGCCCCCTCTTATCTCACTGATCTGCTGCAGCCATATGTCCCACAGCGCTCTCCGAGGTCAGCAGACCAGATGGTTTTACTGGTTCCAGGCACTTGTTTTAAGCTCAGAGGTACCAGGACCCACTCTGTTGCAGGACCAAACTGTGGAATGATTTGTCAGGCAGGCTCCCTCTCTCAATGCGTTTAAGTCTCGTTTAAAAACTCACTTTTATTTCCTGGTTTTTGACTCTGTGTGAGCTGATTTTAGCTGCTTTGTCTTTTATAATTTTAGTCATTTAGTTCTTATCTTTATGTGGATCTATGTCCTGTGTCTTTTGTTTGTTTGTTTCTGCTGTACAGACTTTGGTCTGTACAGCCTTGTTTCTGTTTTTAAGTGCTTTATACATAAAGTGGCATGGCATGGTATGGTATGGTATGGTATGGTATGGTATGGTATGGTATGGTATGGTATGGCATGGTATGGTATGGTATGCTATGGTATGGTATGGTAATGGCAGCCCCCACATCTCACATGGTTTTCTGATCAAAGTCTGTTTTGTCTTTTAAATTGTTCATGGTCCTACACACTTTATCACTGGTCACAGCCAGTGAATGGAAACTTATTTTGGAAACACAGAAACTTATTTTATTTCTTGTGTCAATGACTCATCACTAAAACACGCCTGTGCTGCCTTGCATGAGTACAATAAACAAAATCTCTAGATTTGAATATAATTACCTGAAATATTTTGCAGGTTTTTGTTTTGGCTGAGCGGTGGGATAACTTCAGGAATCCAACGTTCTGATCTAACGGGACAAATTCAAATGACCCTAATTGAAATAACGGAGCGGACCGCAGCGCTGTCCACTGACAGACAGGACAAAAGGCTGTTCTGGGTTCAGTTTGGCTTACCAGGAGAAAGTGCCCTCGCTTCGTGTGACTACGACGGGAATGCCCTGCACATCATGGACCAGCCGCTTTGGTATGCTGCTAATTTTATTAGATATTCTTTCTATGCTTATCTGACATAAGCTAATCAATATTCTGTAATTACTGTTGATTATTTGTTAGGGCTCAGTCACTTGGACTGTCAGTCTTCCTGGACCATGTGTACTACACTGATGCAGCATCCCAGGTTATAAAACAAGTGAACAAGTACACCGGTGGAGATCCAGAGGTGGTTAATATCAGACAAATGGCCAAACCTCCTGTTGAGCTCAAGGTGGTACACCCCCTCGTCCAGCCAATGGCAGACCCTTCCTCACCTTTTCCTGGTATCAACCTCATTTTATTCATTGAAATTCATCTTTATTAAATGTTGGATAAAACTTGGAGGCAACGTTCCAATCATGTAAAAAGTTGTGTATCTGTTCAAACAGGCTGTGGTGAGCAAAGTGGGAACTGTGTGAACGTTTGTTCTCATCTAGCAGAGCGAGGCGTTTGCCAGTGCACTCAAGGTTTTTCTCTCAGCAAGCACGGCACTTATTGTGAAGGTTGGTGAAGCTTCACCACATCATGTCCTTGGATTCAGTAGTTATAAAGGCAAAAACATGTTCATTTAGTTTATAGTGACTGAATTAAGTCTGTAATGGGCCACAACGCTGACTGCCATGGGAAATATTGGTATTTTAGTGTAAATACTGGATGTCACGTAGTTGGAGCTAAAGATTTTGTAGAACAATGGTTGTCATTTATGTAAACAGGTGTGTCATAATGTGTGTGTGTCATAGACGTGAATGAATGTGCCCACTGGAACCACGGCTGCTCTCTTGGTTGTGAAAACATCCCAGGCTCATATTTCTGTACCTGCCCAAAAGGATATGCTCTCCTTCCAGACAGGAAGACGTGCCGAGGTAAGTCGTTACGTCCAGAACATGCAACATTATGTCTGAGATGTTATCAGGAGCATGACCCTTTGCAGGTTTGATGCGTTCACTGGCGACACAAAACAAATTAATTTTGATGTTTGGGTCATGATCACACGATGCCGATTCTATAAATTCAATCAAATTTCCTTTTTAATATTTTTTTCTCGTATTTGGAAATTTTTAGTTATGACTTACATTTTTGAAACATATTGCAAAGCTTAAGTAGAAAAAAAACATAAAAATAGTAAAAAAAAACACAAACTGTTTTGCAAATGGGTTTTATTTTTATTTTGCATTCCAGAGAGTAGACAACCTTGTCATCAGCGTATATAATTTAAGCGCACCGACAGGCGACATTTATCACGAGAATTTTTTTGAAAAGTAGTTCCAGTCACCGTGGTGACCGCCGCTCTTTTAGTTTAGCTCCTTGGTGACACTAATAAAGATGGCATTTGTCCACCAGACACTAGTTTGACCTTGGAGCAGCTTTAAAAAGGCCGGGTCACTGACGTCCAGACAGAACACACATCTTGTGCGTTGGATTCTCTGCAGGGAAACACCGACACTTTGTCTCGCTCCTGACGGCTGAACTGCACTTAGCCTGGGAGGCTTTTAAAAACAAGAGACATCACAGATTTATTTTAATTTTGGTAAACTACATGTGGCCTTTGAGAAATATATAATAAAACACAAGTTCTTTTTGTGAATAAGCTCCAATAGTCTCTACTAAAACATTCATTTAGTATCATCCCTGTCATTTCCTGCTGTTGTTGGGCTTATCTTGCCCTTCTGCATACATGCACGGTCACTCATGTCTGTTTTTGAGCACCTCTATTGTTTGCTAACAGAACAACGGATGTCTTTGACGAAGGGAACAGAAAATTCAGGCAGCCAGATGTGTTGGCACAAACAGTTTCATTGCATTCCTGCTGGAATGTCCAGAGTATCTTCACTTCCATAAACAACTGAAATCGACTCCGTTTGTGATTTTTGTCTTTTTATGGGAGTTGTTTTTGTTGCAGATTATGCACTAAGAAACTTCTGAAGATAATTAAACACTTCATTAATTTTTGAATTAGGCCTAGGAGTTATATATTTATTTTTACCATGCAGCATCAAGCAGCATGGTTCCAAACTCTTTGGCAGCCTGTCATGAAGGCTTTGCACCAACAGCTGCTCTGGTGCTCAGCGTGCACCAGAAAGGTTCAAGAATCGAGTCCGAGCTGCTCCGCTGGACAAACTATGCAGCAACACACTCGTGCAATTTGTCCACCATGTTGTTCATGTGGAACAGAAATGAGTGCGAAACCAAACAGAGACAGGCGTACACACAAGTGGGGGCTGATAAAATTGGCTGCCTGCTATATTAGTCCACCTTTAATCCTAATCTGTTCTCCTCTAATCTCACAACTTGGAATCCAAGACAATAGAAAAGGTTTACAATGAGATTAGATGGCGAGCTGACATTTGCAATAACGAACATGCAGTGCCATAAAAAGAATTCACCCCCCCCGGATGTTTTAATCTCTTACTTCCGTTGTGAACACGGTCAATATAAAATCTGCCTTTTCAACATAAAATGAAGAAAACAGACACAAATAAAATGAAACCCTCTTCAATGTCAAAGTGAAAGTACATTTCAATATGTCAAATAAATGCAACTGTGTAAATATTCACCTCCTTTAAAGTGACTGCTCTGATTCAACTCGAGATTAGTGAGAAGTTACTGGAAGCTACAGAAGGACCTTTAAGGTCTTCAGCATCAGGAATTCTGTTAAATCCATCATCATGAAAAAGAAGGAATATGGGACATGTGTAAATCTACCAAGATCAGTCTGTCCTCACAAACAGTAACACTGAAGAAGAACAGAGAGCCCCCCTGGACACCTGCAACCATTGTGAAGGAGGTACAAGCTTCAGCAGGTGAGACCAGACAGACTGAGCATACAGCAACTGTTGCCCGAGTTCTTCACCAGACTGAGCTTTAGGAGAGAGACCGAGCACTCAACAGTTTTGTTTTGTTCAGAGAGCATCAAGTTGCCTCCAGGGTTGGGTCAATAATTGTACCCTCCATCTTCACAAGACGTCCAGGACCAGCTGTCAGAAGCCCTTGATCATCGAGTTTCTCACATGCCGTTTGATAAACGTTGTTTCCTTCAACCTCGGTTTGCTCTTCACCACTCCCATAAAGCTTGGACCGGAAAACTTGAGCAACAGTTGTTGTATGCACAGTTTCTTCTAGCTCACCTGCTGAAGGCTGCAACTCCTTCAGAGCGGTCACAGGTGATTTCACTTTGTCTCCAAGAGGGTTTTGTATTTTTGATCAAAATGCAAATTAAACATCGACCATATGTAGTGAACTAAGCCTCAGGTCAAATCCTGGCCCTGAGGGCCTTCCTGGGACAAGAACTGTATTTCATTGATTTGAGTCCAGAAACACAAAATTAAGTTCATCCAGAGACTTTCTAAGTGTCCTGCACTGATCAATTGAAAGAACACTCTCTTTTTTATTATCATTACAAATGTCTTGATAATCAAAGTGTGTTTAATTCAAATCATTTTTAAATGTTGAAGTGAACTACTTGTTTTAAATCAACTGTGAAACAGTATTAATGATTTTTAATCCTCATTCAAAGTAGAAATCTAGTTAATGTATGGTACAGAGTAATTATTCATTTACTTGATCTTCTGTCTGAAATGAGCAAGTTGTGATGTCGGTCAAAGGTCGGAGACAAACGCAAACAAGTTTGTTGGAACGAACTGTCATGTTTTTAAATCCTCTCAGACGTAAATAGAGAAGCTGGCACCTGTTTCCTCCCAACTCACCTAAACATTTCTCTTGTCTGTCTCAAAAACATTTTCTGTCTGTTCCAAAACATTTGTCTGTTTTTCTGACTTCTAGTGACCTCTTACGTCACAAAAACACACCCCTGTTCGGTCGATCGACCAATCAGGAAGTTCCCAAATGAACCGGAAACAGAACTCTTTAAATGTCGACACTTCCTAGTTCCAACCAGTGCGGTGGGAGAGCAGTTCAGTTCGGAGGGCAGAACCGAACAGAAAAGTTGCTGGAGAGAACAGGAGGTTCCAGACATGATCCGAAGTTCTTCCGAGTCTTGTGGGAATTATGGAATCCTCCACATCTGAGTAGAGACTCTGACGGACTTACTCCTCATGTGAGTCCACCAGTGGGGTGAACGTGTGTCGGACAGAATACCGTCACTACTTCGGACGATTCACAGCTGTTCCTACGGAGACGCTGAAAGGGTGCGTTAAATGGAACTCCGTACCAGTGGAGACATTTTCTACAGGTAAAGAGTCGATTTACACTACCTAAGTGTACCGAGGGGGAAGCTGAGATCTAATGGAGAGTGCCATCCTGATACCGACACATATTCACTCATCCATCTTTTCCTCTCCATTTAAACTTCATTTCCCATCTTTAAACTCTTCTATCTTGCCAGTAAATCATCCAGATATTTTCAGAAATGTCTGTTGTAAAGCAACAAGGATACCATGGCCGTATGGTTTCCTAGTTGTAAAGCTTGCTAACTAAGCTATGTTGTTGTTGAAATCAATTTGCCAAATTAATGTAAATGTTTGATGTTAAACTTTGATTCTGTTAATAAATGACCGCATTCATTTGATGGGTCAAAGAAAATTAACATCTCACGTCACATTTAATAATCCAATGCACGATAGAATTCAGTCCAGAAAAATGAAAGAATCCGTTTAATTTATGAATAATATCTCATAGATATATGTTCATCTACAACTGGTGGTCTCGTACGAGTCTCTAAAGAGCTCTACACATATCATGATCTGTGTGTGTTGAAGCCAGAGAGCAGACAGACATTAGAAACCAAAGGGCCGACGTGGCAGCAGCTCTAACATTCACGGAGGAGAGGGAGACAGAACAACAAACTGACACTGAACTTATAGAGACACTAACGAGAGACCATGAACACCTGCGGTGATTGGGATGGAGGACAGGTGTGACAGGAGCTGGCAACATGAGGGAGGAAACAAGAAAACACAAAGACGCATGTCCTCTCACCTCGACTGATCAAAAACAGCAGCACCAGGGTAAAACATCTGGGGGGTGAATACTTTTACAGCTCTGCATGTCGTCAGCAGTTTGTCTGTCAAAGATCTCTGGAAGAACTCGACTGAGGAGCTCTGCAGACAACACAGAGGATATTAAGCTGCTCAGAGTTTGATCTAAAGAAACTTCAACTACATGAAAAAATGTGTTTTATCAGAACTTTCCCAATAAACTAAACTAATAATTATTTGATAACAAAGTTTTAGTTTTTCCTTCTTCACAGTAATTAATAAAATCCAACAAGTTGTCATCAGCACCACTCCTTGTTCATCTATGGAGAAGTGTCAGGAAACAATGTGAAAAGCAGATTATCAGAGATTAAACAGTCTTTAGCAATAGACAGACGGAAACTCTTCCTCCTAAGACTCCATCGCTGCATCTACACACTTCAGCCCACACGAAGTATCGTTCTCCTGTGAGCCAACATTACATCACCCTCACTGCGTGAGCTTCTCATCACACTTTCTACGATTTCCATGGGATTAAGACTGATTTCATGAAAGGATTGTAGCAGAGCAGGCCCTAAGAAGCTTGATGTGTATCCGGTTCACCTGCACCTAACTCCTAAAATAGCTGGAAAGGTCTTACATGTGTTGTTAGGCTTTTACTTTGTAAATGCATAAATGTGGAATGTTGCATTAACATCTCTGCAGTTCATCTTTGATGCGACTGACTCATGTTCTGCACATTTGTTCTTGTTGTTCCGTCTGTAAAAGCTATTTCTTCGTCTTTGAACAGAAATAGTAGAATGTGAAGGCAACGGCGCACGATGTGGCCACGGGTGTCTGCAGACTGGGAGTGGGACCGTCTGTGTTTGCCCTGAAGGATCCATTCTGCACGAGGACGGACAAGCATGCACCGGTACGGACGACGCTTGTTCACTTTGAAAAACACACGATATCTACCTTTTTGTTTGTTTTGAACTTTATGCAGAATTCTAATTTTATTCTTCATTGGTTGATTGTTTGAGTCGTGTCAGTCTTCTGTTACAGCTTCTTCACTTCTATTGTTGAGACGTAACATCACTGGATTTTTATTTATGTCTGGATGCATTCAATAAAATACAAGAAATAAGATTTATCTTAGCATGAACAAGCAATTATTCACTTTTTCGATAAAGTTTATCAATAAGTGAACGGTTATTAATGAAACTGTTCTGTAAGAGGAGAAAACTTGACATTAAACTTCTTTAAACACCATTTATTGTTCTTTTCTTGATTAGACAAATAAGTCCCTTTAACGCATCGTTCACAACTTTTAGTTTTTGTCAAACAAATTGTGCTGCAGTGTTGACTAATGATTAATTTATGCTAAACATTAAGCATATTTTCTAGTTGTGAGAAACTTCTGAAAGTTGGATTAACTGACACTGGATGTTTAAAGAGGTTTTGTTTGTTCATATTTAGTTTGAGTCCAAACTGTGGCAGAACACACGTTCTTGTACACATCTGACCAAATACTGTCAACAAGAAGTACTTTTTATTCTACTGGTAACATTTTGTTTTAGTACACGATTTAAGAAAAACAGAGTAATACAGTTAAAGATGTGTTTTTCCAAACTAAGAGTTTCTTTTAGTTGTTTTCATGTGAACCGAGTTGGTGCAGTCGTCTCATTGTGTTGGCTTTAATGGGTGCAGGCTGCTCCTCAGCAGACAGAGGTGGGTGCAGCCAGCTGTGCACCCCCGTCACCCCCAGGACGTGGCAGTGTGGATGTCTCCCCGGCTACGAGCTCCACCAAGACGGCAGACGCTGCACTGCATCTGGTGAGTCCCTCCATGGCAGGGCCCACACAGAAGCTGGTCCTGGTCCTGCCGTCACCTCCACGCCTGGCTCTGAGCAGTCTGCCTGAAAATACCAGGAAAGACCCGTCGTGGTGCAGCTACTCACTTACTGTGTCCTCCTTCTTCAGGACTTCCACCGTTTCTGATAGTTGCCAATCTGGTGGACGTGAGAAGAATGAACCCTGACGGCTCTGAGGATGAGATCTTAGTGAAGGAGCCCAGAGGAACAATCTTAGCTTTGGACTATGATCCTGTCCTGAACCAAGTAAAACCTCTTTAGTTTTTATTTCCCGTTGCTGTTGGACTGTATTCCCTCCTCCATTATAAATAGAAGACATGTACCTGTATGTGCTGCCATAATAACTACAGGGAACAGGTGTGGGCTCTGAGTGACACCTAGTGGTGCTGAGTGGCTTCACTGGTTTGGTTTTACTGCACTCGTCCTTCAGAGCGTCTGTAATTATTTGTATTTTCTGCTTTTTGTGTATTTGTACTGGAAGGTGTACTTTGCAAGTATAGGCAAGAAGACGATAGAGCGCGTGGATCTGAACAGTGGGTCCAGACAGGTTCTCGTCTCCGATGGTTTAGACTCTCCAGAAGGACTGGCCATAGACTGGGTCCACCGCAGGATGTACTGGACGGACAACAGGTGTGTGGTTCCTGATCAGTGTACATGTGGGCGCTGGTTCTCTGTTGCACGTGTTTTGAAGTAAGCCATTTAATTTCCTGCTACCTGTGCGTGCACGTTGTGGTGCAGAAGATCAGCTGTGGACTGCAGCACTCTGAGCGGACTGCACAGACAAACCGTGGTGACAGAAGGTCTGCAGAAGCCAAGAGCCGTTGCAGTCCATCCTCAAGCAGAGTGAGTTTCCCCCGAACATTTCTGGAACTAAATGCAACTTTACACATTTATATGCAAAGTTAATTAAACCGTACACTCGAGCTGGACTGAACCTCAACTAAATGTCTGACATGAGAGGTTTCTATAGACCAGAACAGAACAAGTCTGAAGACCTCAACAGATAATACATCTGTAAATTATCGTATTTTTTGGGACTATAAGGCGCACCAGATTATAAGACACATTAAGCGAAACAAGTTCATTTTGACAGATTTTTGAGCGCCGTGCACCATGAAATCAGTTGGTCAGTAAGCACAAGCAGATTTAACACACGAGGCGCACCGGATTATAAGGCTCACTGTCGATTTTTGAGAAAATTAAAGGATTTTAAGTGCACCTTATAATCCAAAAAATACGCGACAGTGTGTTCTTATCTAAATGACGTTTAAACAGTGGAGCGCCCACCCACTCATTATCATGTTCATTTTTACTGAATCAAACATATTTATCAATATTTATGCTTAATTTACTGTGAATTCATAGTTTTGTAACAAAAATAAAATCATTTGCTGGTTCACAGTTAATATTACAGAAACATAAAGCTGATATTTGTGTTTTCCTGTTTTATTCACCTTAAAGCAAGTTATTCTGGACTGACGCAGGCGCTCGGCCTGCAGTGGAATGTGCCACCCTGCAAGGCGCTCATCGAACGGTTATTGCAAGCACCCACCTCGTGTCCCCCACTGGCCTGACGATCGATTTCGCCGACAATCGATTGTTCTGGTGCGATCAAAAGAGAGGCCTGATAGAGACAGCTGCCTTGGATGGTTCAGATCGACGGATCCTGTTAGAGAACCAAGTAGGTGAGGTTTGTGTGACACACACACACAACGCAGAGCGCTGAGATAAAAACTCAGCCAAGTTGAGTATCAGCAGATGTTAGGATGAAGCTGGGAACAGCTGGAGTGAACGTTCACACTTTACACGCAGGATGTTTACCACTAAACAATAAATGCACTGATTGAATAACGAACTCGTTAACTCGGGGCGTTACGTGTGTTTGAACGTGTCAGGTCGCCCTTTTGGCCTCGCAGTGTTTGAAGACCAGCTCTGGGTCTCAGACTGGGAACGTCAGAGGCTGAGGAGTGTGCACAAGCGGACTGGGAGGAACCTTCAGCAGCTCCATGAGGGAATGGTCCAGCCAGCATCGATCGTTGTCGTCCATCCTCTTTCAAAACCAGGTACGTCAACAGAAAACAGCCGCACTGCAAACGTTAAAACAGGAACGTTTGATTCTTCATGCTGCACATTTCAACAGCTGTTCAGGCTGTTACTGCACCAACAACTCTAACTGGAAGTTTTACATCCGAGTCAGGGCTGTCGTCTACAAACAGCCCGAGTCCACTTCATGTTCTTGAGTGCTTAAAGAAAAACGTGTCTGCAACACTCCTCCCAGGAGCAGACGCCTGCCTCCACGTTAATGGAGGCTGCGCTCAGGTGTGTGAAAGCAAACTGGGATCAGCCGTCTGCTCGTGCCTGCCACCTGACCACCTGGCACCTGATGGAAGAACCTGCTCTTCTGCTGATGCTTCAGGTGTGACTGCAGGTATCTTCCCTCGGCTGCAGGAAACTTTACCAACGGTTGAAATGTTCATATTGTTCTTGTTGCTGCAGCACCTGGACACAGGAAGCCCCCTGAGCGCACAGCGCCCGGCCTAACGACTGATGGAGGGAATAATGCAACGTTCTCCACAGAGAAGATGGTTGCAGGTAACGCAGGCTTGTTGAGTGAAGTCTTTACCGTTTGGTGTTTCATAATGACACGTTTGTGTTGCCGGTCAGACCAGACTGAGTGTCCTCCTCTCCACTGTGATGTGCACGCACGGTGTCAGATGGATGCAGGAAGGCCGCTCTGTTCCTGTCGAGAAGGTTTCACAGGTGATGGACGCACCTGTCGGGGTGAGTCTTTATTCTGCTCAGACACGATACAAAAGCAGAGACAGAATCTGAACCCGTCCGGCTCCGTCTGGGACCGAATCAAACCACGAGCGTGACTCGGTATTTTATAAATGGACGCAGCTTTCGTTCTGATGTTTGTCCTGCAGCAAAAAAATTTAAAAAATCAGTAAAACATCTGAGTTTCACACAAAGACCACGTCTTTGTGACAAAGATTTAATTTATTTGATCAGTTTTATCAAAGGTGTAAAAGCTTTTTATGATTTTTTTTCCTTTTTTTAGTTTGAGAATAATGAAACTACTATTTCTGTTTGTTTTTGTTTTATTTCTTTAAATCATTTATATATATATGTAAATGTAGGTAAAATAAGCCAAACATTTAAAAAAGAAAACCTAAAACAACACAACTTATTAAAAAAGTTATTCTTTATTTCTCTCTCATGCATTTAAGCATCATATTAAGCTGCGTCCACTCATTAGTAACGAACTGACATTTAAAAGTGTTGGTTTATTTTAATTTAGCTGATAAATGACTTGACGTCCAGATGAAGTGACATAATTGTTATGATCCTTATGATTTATCATCTGTAATATGAGACTGTAGTAAAAGTTTGCATCATTTGCTTTAAAGAATTATCTTCTTCAGAGATGGAAGCTCCGTCACATTGGAGGACGTCTCCAAGTCCAGCTGATGCCACCACCCGGGGCCACAACAGAAACTCAGCAGAGAGGTGCCCCCCCAGCCACGAATCCTTCTGTCTGTACAACGGGATCTGCTTCTACCTCCCCGACATGGAGTCCTACGCCTGCAAGTAAAACAACAAGCTGTCATCATCAGACACTTTGCAGGAGACACCAACTTCAGCAGCTCGTGGGTTTAACAGCAGGTGTCAGTGTTGCTCTAAAAGTATCAACTTTACCAAAATAAAAAACATCATGATGAATAAAATACATCCTGAGAAATAAAATACATCATGAGAAATAAAATACATCCTGAGAAATAAAATACATCATGATAAATTAAATACATCATGATAAATAAAATACATCCTGAGAAATAAAATACATCATGATAAATTAAATACATCATGATAAATAAAATACATCCTGAGAAATAAAATACATCATGATAAATAAAATACATCCTGAGAAATAAAAAACATCCTGATAAATTAAATAAATCATGATAAATAAAATACATCATGATAAATTAAATACATCATGATAAATAAAATACATCATGATAAATAAAAAACATCATGATAAATAAAATATATCCTGAGAAATTAAATACATCATGATAAATAAAATACATCATGATAAATAAAAAACATCATGATAAATAAAATATATCCTGAGAAATTAAATACATCATGATAAATAAAATACATCATGATAAATAAAATACATCATGATAAATAAAATACATCATGATAAATAAAAAACACCATGATGAATAAAATACATCCTGATAAATAAAATACATCCTGAGAAATAAAATACATCATAAATAAAATACATCATAAATAAAATACATCATAAATAAAATATGGCAGCACGGTGGTGCAACTGGTAGAGCTGCTGCCTCTCAGCGAGCAGGTCCCTGGTTCAAACCCCGGTCCAGGTGCCTTCTGTCTGGAGTTTGCATGTTCTCTCCGTGCATGCGTGGGTTTTCTCCGGGTGCTCCAGTTTCCTCCCACAGTCCAAAAACATGCATGTTAGGCTGATTGGTGACTCTAAATTGTCCCTAGGTGTGAATGAGAGAGTGAATGTCTCTATGTGTCCCTGTGATGGACTGGAGACCCGTCCAGGGTGTCCCCCGCCCCTCGCACAGTGATTGCTGGACATGGGCACCAGCGACCCCCGTGACCCAAAATGGAATAAGCGGGTAAAGATAATGGATGGATGGATAAATAAAATGCATCATGATAAATAAAATACATCCTGAGAAATAAAAAAAACCATCATGTAAGCTCTGACCAAACATGTCAACAAAATAACAACCTATTTTAAAATTAATTAACGTTAACACAGCTTTATAGAGGTGACGCATGAGTTTCTGTCAAGTTTAAAACAGTGCATGCACAAATAAAAGTGTGCACGTCCACTCCTAAAGCTTACAGATGAATTTGTTGAACTGTCAGTTCTGACATGTAACATCAAAAGAAGACGGACCGGTGACTACACAACTTTATTTAATCAACTCTGACGTATTTCATCGCGGGTTGACCTTTGACCCCAGCTAAAACTTTTGTTCTCTGTTGTTCAGAAGAGTTGTTGGACGAAGCTTTTCTTTGACTCGTTGCAGCTGCGTGCCCGGCTTCATCGGCGAGCGCTGTCAGTTCAGTGACCTGGAGTGGCTGGAGCTTCAGCAGGCGGAGGAGGAAAAGAGACGGAGTGTTGTGATCGCAGGCTGCACGGTGCTGCTCGTGTCCCTGCTCTCCATCATCGCCTGCGCCACCTTCTGTTTCAGGTGAGCGGGAAGCTCCGTGTTCACCATCAAATACGTGAAAGAAAAGAGTTCATGTTGGATAAAAGGCTGAGCAAATATCCAAATTAAAGGGTTTGACGAGATTTATTATGGGATTTCTGGCCAGTAAAAAACAAAAACAGATTTAAACCATTTATCTATGTTTTAGTGAGGTGGTACGAGTGACAGTCGTGTCAAGGCCTCAAAAGGGTTTTCATGGGATTTTCCACCCGAACAGTTAAGAATAAATCAGAGCAAAGCTCCGTTGTGTGTCCTTTGACACATTGTACTGAGTGCGTTGGTGTTTTCACGGCAGTATGGATGTTTAGTACCGTGTGGCAGCGTCCAGGGGTGCAGAGTGGACCTGCTCCGTACGGAACGAGTGCTCAGCGTTTAGAAGTGTCTATCAAACATGAGCCGTGTAATGCAGCAGGGGACGGAGGAGCACGTTACACCTGGAACAGCTGACGGGCAGCCCTGACTAGCTGAGTGAAGAGCACGAACCACGCACTGTGACGCCTCGCTTTTATTTCCACCAGTCGTGTATTTAAGGAGCTGATTTGTTTTACGGATGTTTTGCTGCTTGCATTCTTCCTTCTTTTGCCTCAGGAAACACATCCCTCCCCTCACACTACCTGACATTCACACTCTTGGTGCTCCGGTGGAAGTGGCACGCTTTCAATTACATGGTTGGTTTAGCTTGTTCTACAGCAATTACATCTAAAAATAGGTCATTTCTCAGCTACTAAATGGAGCTGGTGAGGTATGACCCCGTGGAAACGCTGCGTGGGCGCCAATAGCACTGCCTCAAATTGCCTTTTTCACCTGTTTGGTCTTTGAATTTGTTGAGTTTGTGGCCCCTGCAGCCTAGAAACAGGTCAGAAGTTAAATTAAAGAAGCTAGAAATTAAAATATTAATGGCATCTGCTTCACAGATGTGTGTGTAAGTTATGATGCAACACATAGATCAGGACAAACTTCATTTGTTTTATTTTTCAGAAGCAGAAGACGCCTTCAGAAACAGTCGTCAGTGGATAACGTGAGTGAAATCAGCGTGACAGATGCGAGCATGTTGGAGACCACAACCAGTGACCCCCGGGTAAGGACTCTGCTGTAACAGGTCCAGACGCATGGGCTTAACTTGAGCCGGATCCTGCCAGAACAGGATCTGGGAACGCTCTTATTTTGACAGGGTGCGTTCTGGTAACTGCTTGGATTCGGTAACTCTCAGGTTTACTAATAATAAAGTTATCAACTAATTTGACTGCCTTGAATGAATAAAACCTATATTAGATGTGTAATCTGAAAATAATTACATAAACACTCATTTTAAACATTACGAGCTTTCATCAGAGCTGCTCCTTCAGGTAAGCATTTCCACTTTCCCTTAAACAAATCTCTGCCTCTAAACGTGCAGTCATGGGCAATTTAATTAAAAACACAAAATATAATTAAACAGCACAACTAAGTTGTAAATCAGTTTTACAGTTTAATACAATACAATTTAATACAATTTTTTGTTTTTTCAATTAAAACTACAAGGAGAGAAATGTTTGATGGGTAATCACGTGACGTACGTCACTTATCAAAACAACAGCGATCAAAATGTTGAACCGAGTCCAGTTTACTTTCTTTAATAAAAAGTCAAGTAAACAACCACGATCTAAAAGAGAGAAGTCAGGTCCTCTGGACGGGTTCAAACAAACAAACAAACAAACAAACAAAAAGCTAATTTTTTTTAATCCGTCCAGAGGACCTGACTTCACTCTGTTATATTTTCTACCTGGATTATTGAGCAGCTTCAGGACAAACAACCAAGAATTGAAGCACGTGAAGCAGCAGCGATGGAGACATGGAGCAGGTGAGTGTGGGTGAGAGCTGAGCTAACACACCAGGATGTCCTACCTGGGCAGGAGCCCACAGCCACACACCATGAGGAGCCTGACCAGGAGCCTGGGGGGTCCACATGTGGAGGAGGACAACGAGAGGAGGAGCCTGGGGGGTCCACATGTGGAGGAGGACAACGAGAGGAGGAGCCTGGGGGGTCCACATGTGGAGGAGGACAACGACAGGAGGAGCCTGGGGGGTTCACATGTGGAGGAGGACAACAAGAGGATGAGCCTGGGGGGTCCACATGTGGAGGAGGACAACGAGAGGAGGAGCCTGGAGGGGTTAGGTAAATATAGGTATTTAACAACCCATGAAAATACACCAGAATGCAGGAAAATGCATCTACTTTATTCAAAACGTTCTGGGGGAGGACCCCCAGATGCCCCCAACCCCACCACCACCCCTCTGTCTCTGTTCCAACATTATTTGGTTGATAAATTATCACTATCCAGATGTGTAAACTCAACAAAACGTCAAACTTCAATCAGTTTCTTCGATTTTAAAAACTTCTGAGCTGCCTGCAGCAGCGGCGGCTCGTCATGTGTCCACCAGGGGGGGCTATATCTCCAAAATAGACCTACCAAAAACATGTTCAATTTCAGTCACGGAAGTAAAAGTCCTGAAGATGTTTTTTTTTTTTTTTTTTTTTTTTTTCTTTGATGGTCTCCCTTCTCCCCTTACAGCCATCCTCTCCACACCATTATTATGAAATATTTATTATAGTGACTATCTAGTGTAGGTGTTGTTGTTTATTTATTTATTTATTATTATTATTTTATTTTTATTTTTTTTAATAGAATAGAAAGAAAGAAAAGACAAAGTAAGACTCCAAAATATAAGAAATATATACAAAGAGAGCACACGGCAAAACACCCGGCCACTGTCTGTTCACCTGCAAAGAACATGACAAAACACAGCAACAAAATACATATGTATAAAGAACTTAAAATATTCATGGCTTTGCAGTAAGTTTCCATAAATATATATACCCATACCTACGCCTATATACATACATACATACATACACATGAATATACACTCACATACATATCTATATATCTACATATAAAGCCTACATAAACATCCCTGCTTCTATTTGTGTGTGGGTGTGAGCATGCATAAGTGTATAAGGCTTCTCTAATAGAACATTTATTAGTAATTGTGAAGCAGCAGAGACCCGACCCCCAAGACCAGAGGCAGACGAAAAAGTGGGGACCAGAGCCCAAGACCCCAGGAGGGACCCCGACCGCGGAGCCCCCAGAGCCACCCACACAGGACGAACCACTCACCCACCCCCCAGAACGGACCACAGGGGAGAACCGGAAGATCCCCACCAGCAACCACATACAGTGACCCCCCGGGGCCAACAGCGACAAACTCATACGCCTCCGTCGGCACCCGCCGCACCGATGTAGGTCCAGGTCCAGGCACCGAGGCCCGGGCACTGAGGACTCACACCACCCAGGCCAAGGCCTGACAGGGCCAGAGGACCCGAGCCCCACCAGGCAGACACCAGGCCGAGCCGACACACGCCCAAGCGCCCAGCCCCCGATACCAAGGGCCCCAAGCGCGCCGGCAGGCAAGGGCACACCCCACCAGGGGGCCGCGCGATAGGGGCGCGATGCCAAGCACCCCCAGTTGTATCAACTCAACAAAACGTCAAACGTCAATCAGTTACTTCGATTTAAAAAACTTCTGAGCTGCCTGCAGCAGCGGCGGCTCGTCTTGTGTCCACCAGGGGGGGCTATATCTCCAAAATAGACCTACCAAAAACGTTCAATTTCAGTCACTGAAGTAAAAGTCCTGAAGATGTCAATAAAACCGGACATTTTGTTTGGACCCACAGTTCTACATGGTTGCAGAACATGATGTGGAAGAGAAGGTCTTCTCAGCAGGTCCAAGGGGTTCTGTCTGTCCACCGGGCTCTCCAGAACCAGGTACCAGAGAAGTCCCTGGTTCTCTTCATACATTTTGTTCATCTTTTGTTAACACCTGTTGATTTAATCTTCTCTCTGTCAGACACCGACCAATCATCTGCAGAGCCACACGTGTCCAAACACAGCCGAGGGTGTGAGAGTCCCGCGGTGCCGGCTGGTGCCACAGAAACCACTCAGCCACCGGACCAGCCCTCAGAACCATCCCTGGGGACGTTTCCATGTGTTGGGCAGAAAATATGTATTTGTACATAAAAACACAAGAAGTGTCTAGCCAAACATTACTGCAGAAACAGTTGGACGTTAAAAATACTTCATCATTTTTATGAATAAAATAAGCTTCGAACGTTGCGTGAAGCTGAATCTTATGTGAAAACAAGTGGGAAATGTCCAAAGACACGTGACAGGTTTCATTTCAGTGTCAGGGTTCATAAAATTATAAACACTAGAAACCAAACTGAGAATGAAGACGTGCTGAAACTGAACCGGTGCCCACACTTTGAGTAAAGACGATTGTGGTCGTGAATAAATGATGTTACATAGAATCAATCAGATTTCAAGACTAATCTGGCTACAGTGTGGATTATGGATTATTGAATTATAAAAAGAATTGTTGCAATGGTGAAATGTTGCAACATCACGTGGACGATGGGGGCAGTGCCACTGGACCGGCAGACTGGTGGTTCCCCTCGTTAAAAAGGAGGACAGGAGGGTGAGCTCCAGTTACACCACTGTCCTCAGCCTCCCTGTAAGGTCTGTTCAGGGTACTGGACAAGAGAGTCCGATCGTTGGTCCAACCTCAGATCCAGGAGGAACAGTGCAGGTTCTGTCCTGGCTGTGGAACACTGGACCAGCTCTTTACCCTCACTAGGGTCCTCGAGGGGTCATGGGAGTTTTACCATCCAGTCTACATGTGTTTTGTGGACTTGGAGAAGTCTTTCGACCGTGTTCCTCGAGGTACACTGTGGGGGGCTCTGTGAGTATGGGATGGGGGCCCATTGTGACAGGTTATTCGGTCCCTAAACAAGTGGTGCGAGAGTTTGATTCTCATTGCCGGCAGTAAGTCGGACCCTTCAGGGTGGGAGTTGGACTCCACCAGGGCTGCCCGTTGTCACAGATTCTGTTCATAAGTTTTATGGACAGAACTTCTCGGTGCAGCCAGGGCATGGAGGGAGTCCAGTTCAGAGGCCTCAGGATTCATCTCTGCTCTTTACAGATGATGTGGTCCTGTTGGTGTCATCATGATCTTCAGCTCTAACTGAAGCGGTTCACAGCCGAGTGTGAAGCAGCTGGGATGAGAACCAGCACCTCCAGACCTGAGGCCATGGTCCTCAGTCTGAAAAGTGTGGATTGTTCTCTTCAGGTCGAGGGTGAGGTTCTGCCTCAAGTGGAGGAGTTCAAGTATCTCAGGGTTTTGTTCACGAGTGAGGGAAGAATGGAGCGTGAGACTGAAAGATGGATCGGTGCAGCATCTGCAGTATTGTGGACTCTGTACCAGTCCGTCTTAGTGAAGAAGGAGCAGAACTGTAAGACAAAGCTCTCTGTTTACTGGTCGGTCTACGTTCCTCCCCTCACCTCTGGTCCTGAACTCTGGGTAGAGACTGAAAGAATGAGATCGTGGATCCAGGAGGTTGAAATGAGTTTCCTCTAAAGGGTAGCTGGACTCTCCCTTAGAGACAGGGGGAGAAGTTCAGTTATCAGGACACGCTGGAGAGACTCTGTCTCTCATTTGGTCTGGGAACACCCTGGGGTCCTCCCAGAAGAGCTGGAAGAGGCTGTGGAGAGAGATGTCTGGACCTCCCTGCTCAAGTTGCTGCCCCCGAGACCTGAGTCAAGAACAAGAGGAAATGGATGGATGGATGGATGGATGGATGGATGGATGGATGGATGGATGGATGGATGGATGGATGGATGGATGGATGGATGGATGGATGGATGGATGATGGATGGATGATGGATGGATGGAT